GTGGAAATTAATAAGAAAGTCTGTGATTATGTTCGCAATTTATGTTATTTTACGAATAATAAAAAAGTTTGTAATTCTGTTCGCACTATATGTAATCTTGTAATTATTGTAATAATAATAAAAAGTCTCTGTGATTGTGTTGACACTTTATGTCGGTCAAATATTAATGACAAAAAGAAAGTCTGTAACAGTGGTCGCAAAACACGAATTAAATCCTACGCCTTTTTTTTCTTTTTTTTTAATAAAACAATCGGCAGGCCTCCAGTCGAAATACGAAATCTCCAGCGCATGGACCTTCGGGTCCCAGCCGTACAGCTCGAGACCTGACAACCGTGATCCAGAGAGTTATTCTGGGAGGGGGAGGCGGTATAACGAAATGTAAATATTTACTTATTATTGGTGTTATTTTCAATATTTTTTAATAATTTTTATTATTTTATTGTTTCATTACCTCTACAGCACAAAGTTGCACAAAAGTTGCAGCAACACTGCTGCAATATTGCATGTTGCAGTAATATTGCAAAGATTTTGCAGCGATATTGCTGCAAATTTTGTGCTGTATGGGTATATTTACTATTATTATTATTACTGTTATTACTATTGAGTTGCATGGAGAAAGTTCTGCGGAATTTTGTTAGCTCAAAATTATATAAAGAATATTTTTATTGCGAAATTTTTGACCATCTGGTATGAGAGCTTAAAGTTTTTCTTAAAAGTTCGTTTTTAAACAATGTTACTACGACTTTTTGTTATCAAGTTACACATGGATTAAATAAAAGGGAATTTTGATTTTGATTGCTCATAACTCCGTTAAAAATTATAGTATCGTAATTAATAAAACAGATTCTTAAAAGTTGCTTTATCAAGTGGTGTAATTGCCAATTTAAAAAAAAATAGAATATATATACATTTGAGCTAAAAATGTGATATTACTTTTCTTTTTTCTATTGCGCAATAGTTATAAGGATAGTAATATCATCATTATCATAGTATATCATCGCAATAATCACATTTTTAACTCAAATTTCTATATATTTTGCATTTAAAAAGTTAGCATGATACTATTCGACAAAGCAACATTTCAGCTTTAAGAATCTATTTTTTAATTTGCAATACGATGATTTTTAATGGAGTTACGATCGAGCAATCAAAGTCAGAATGGTCTTTTTTATTTAACTCGCGAATAACTCAAGAACAAAAAATCGTAGAAACATTTTTAAAAAACGATTTTGTAAGGAAAACTCCAAACTTTCACGATATACATGATCGAAAATTTTCGCAAATTTTCTTTTTGTTACATAACGGATCCACAAAGTGAGAAGAAAAATTTCTCTTTTTTTCAGCTCGTAGTTTTCTATATATAAAAATTACAAAACTCACATAAATTCAAAAAAGTATAATTTTAAAGTAGAGATTTCAAGCTCTAAAACCCTTTTTTAAATTTAAATTTTGATCATTTTTAACGAAAATATTGTATATATAATTTTAAGCTATAAAATACCGCAAAACTTTTCCTTCAATCCAATATCACGATCATAAAATATAAATTATACATGTCTGGTATTCAGCATTTTATTAGCCAGATATATTTTTATATATACATTAACATAATATGAAATGTTATTTAAAAACAAATTTTGTTATATAATAAACCTAACTTTCTGTTTGATGAACTCTAGGGGGGAGTCGCCCCTCCGCCCTCCTCTGGATCCGTCACTGAGATGACAGCGTGCCCGAGTAGAAACGTTTCTAGTAAAAGCTGATTACTAATCAGAATCTAGCCATTTTTTGCTAATTAGGTTATACTATTAGGCTAGACAACAATTATTCAACTGAGTAACTGAGTAGAAAATTATATTAAAAAAAAAAACTGGTCAATAAGTAGTCTAAAACTTACTGAGTTAAACTGAGATTAGTAAATGCTATACAGTTTCTGGTCAGTCAAAACTCAGCTTATCTTAGTTCTTATTTCGTAGTCAAAAACTAGCCAAAAAATAGCCAAAAATAGCTTTGATGAAATGATTAGTATATAACATATACTAATAACATATTATGCTATTTAATTTCTGGTCAACTAAAACTCAGCAAATTGTGAATGATAGTTGGTTTATATTTGTTTATAACTAACAAAACTCAAATAGCAGAATAACGTCAGAGATGTCATACTGACATAAAAATTTCTGATAACTTCATTCTGATAATTTTTAGATATAATTTTATTAAATATTAACTATTAAACTTACTATATATCATATAGAAATTCTGTCGCACACAATGTTTTTATTTAAGTATGCTTTATTACAACTTTAAATATAATAAACAATTATTAGAATAGGAGAACGGCAAAACGCAGATCTTTTATTTATTCAGTAAATATTAATTTTCTTCATTTTCTTCACAATTTTCTTCACTATTTTCTTTACTTGTAATATTCAAATATATTTTATGTTTCTTCTTTCGATTTTCTAACCTTTCTTCTGTTTCTTTTCCTAATTCTTCTTGCATTTTTTCTTTGCTCAATTTTTATTTTAATTTCAATCTTTTGCATTGGAAATCACATCTCCCAGAGACTTATTATCACATCTCCCAGAGAGATTATTAAATAATTTTTCGGTAATATATATATATATATATATTTTGGCTCATCACTCCACTTTCCGATAAATATATTTAAAAATTAGATGTAAATAAAAATACCTTGACAACAATTATTATTATTAATCTATAAAGTTTAAAATAATATATAGTAATAATTTACCGAACAAATAATTATAAAAACAAGTCTTTGCAAAAATATGTTTATTTTTCATTTCTTTTATAGCAGTAAATTTCATATTATAACGTCTTGCTTAAAAAATGTTTTCAAAATTGTCACAATATTTCTTGGTGTACTTAAATTATTATCTATTAAAGTATTAATAGAATGGAAATAAATGATATATGTCAATGTCTTAGAAACTATAGAAAATACGGAAAAAAGTTTCAGACAAAAGTTGTAGGATTGATTTCAAGGAGGACAAATTAACCGGTTAAGTGGTAGGCTTTTTAAAACATTCCGTGCCAAAAGTGGTAGGCGTCAATTGTGAACTAAAATATACCAAAATTTGGCCCTGGGGGTTTTTTGGGTCGCTGATTTCATTTCGTATATAAACTGCGGGGGTAAAACGTAATTGCAATATTTAAAACGTAATTGCAATATATATACAAAAATCGCCATTTTCATTCAACGTATTAGTCGCCATGTTGTGTTCGCCATCAAATTTTACAAATTTGACGCCAAAATCGAGTTCAGAAGCCCAAAAAACAATAGTATACCAAATTTCAAGCAAATTCGTTGAATAATATAGAAGTTATTCAAGATGTGCATATATGCTACAATACCACTTTTGGCACGGATTCTTTTTGTGCATATATGCTACAATACCACTTAACCGGTTAATAGCAAAATTAATTTTCGAAAAAAATTAATTTTTTTAAATCATATGAAGGTCATCGTTTTTTAAATGGAAATATATGATTTTTCTATACAATAGGATTCTTTTAATTATGCTTAATATAAAATTAAGTGTTAAGATAGAATTATAAAAAATCAATATTTCGTATATATAAATATATAATTAAGATTACGAAGAAGCTTCGCCAGCCTTCTTTCTCCTCCAATAAACGACAGAACTCAAAAAATTCTTCGATAGTATTGAATGGAACTTGAACATTATTTTCCTGAATAAAATTTTTTCCTAAATGTATAATATTTTCTTGTTATGATAAAATTAATCTATTTTTTAATTAATTTCCGTATTTGATGTTTGTACTGTTTTGAAATATTCTAAATTTGTTAATTTTGTTAGAATCAATTTCATACCTACAAGCAAATAAATTATTAAAATTTAGAAAAATTTAGTATAATGTACATGTCTGTTATTGTTTACATTCAACATTTTCCTCTGTTGCATAATTCTGTTGACAAATTGAATTTAAAAGGTATTTGCTGCAACATTAATGTTGCAACTGCTGCTCATTGTCGGTTTTTCAAACGTATCTTTTCTAAATACAATTGGTTTTTTTAATATTTCAACTGATTTTATTGATATTCCTACAATTTAAATTAATATATTAATTATCTTCTTTTTATTAAATATGTTTATTATAATGATTCATATACCTTTCGATGTATGTTTTTTCCCTAAAAGTTTTTCTTTTAGTTCACCTTTTTTTTATTTTGATTAAGTTTTCTTGCACAATTTTTATCGTTTGAGTCTAAATTTTAGAATGTTGTTATACATTAAATACACGAAAAGTTAAACAAGATGAATACGAGTAAGTCTTACAATTTTCAATTAACTTAATCGACTAATTATGTAATTATGTAAGTGTCAACATCTCCCGTTCAAATGTTGACAAAAACCGATCGATCGAAGAAGACACCGAAGAAATTGGCACAGACTACCTCGAAAAAGACTGAGACTTCGAGCGCTATCGCAAAGGAGCAGAAAGGCCTGAAGAGGAAAGTGTTCGACATACACGCTCTTCGAAGATTTAGAGAACGCGCCGTTGGAGGAATACATACCGGACGCGACG